GGGAGAGCTTCCTGGAGGAGGCAGTCTGGTTCTTAAAGGATAAGTAGTGTTAGCAGAATAGGTACGTTCTCTCTCCCCTGGACATGGCTAACTCCTATTGACCTTCAGATCTTGGCTCAAGCATCACTTCTTCCAGGAAGCCCTTCCTGATCTCACCCACCTGGGAATCCCTTGTGGCAGATGACCTGCTGTGCCCCTCTCCTTCCCAACCCCTGAAGCAATGGGAACACATGATTAATGTCACCCCCCCACTAGACTTTGGGCTCCACGGGGACAGGGACCACGTTATCTTTGGCCCTTGGAGAACACTCAGTATCCAGCAGGAGGCAGCTTCCAACATGAACACAGGCTCCATCACTACCTAACAGCATGCGAGGTATGCTCTGGGGCTCTATTTCCCCATCTGCAAAATGGGCCTGCTGTGACTTTGTGACACTTAAGTGGGGTGACTGAGGTACAATCCTGAGTATGAAGCAAGTGTACGAGACATATCAGCCATTTTTATTTTCTAGATCAGTGCCTGGCACAAAGCCTGTGCTCAGTAAATATTTGTTGAAGAAATGTGTGTCGTTGATAAATGCGTCGGTCATCACGCGGGTGTGGCTAACTTATTACTGATTTATGATCTCCCTCCCTGGTCTGTTCGCCCCTTGCAGGTGGGGCTGGGGCTGCCCTGTGCACTGGGCACCCTCAGCGTCGAGCAGAGCCAGGCGCCTCGCCCTGGGTGCTAGGGGCAGGGAGAGGCACACGTGTCCGTGGGGCGCCCACCCCATGTCACACACCACGCTGGGTCCTTCTACACACAGTCTTGGTTCATTCTCTATGGCTCAGGGTCCCATGGGTACCTGAGGTGGGGCTGAGATTTGAACCCATGTCACTGACCCCCGAGGCCCAGCCAGATCAGGATCTGCCCTGCTCACACCAGGTTGAGGACCACCTCCTTTGAACATTGTTCAAAGTGCTTCTGTAACTTCGACATCCATTTGGAAGCACCTTTGTTTGCTGGGGGACCCCTGCCTGAGTCCGTGCAAGGAAAGCGCTGGAGTGACAGTGCTCTTGCCGAGGGGCACTGAGGCCCGCCCACGTGCGGACATCTGGCTCCCTGCAGTCCTCCCCGCCGCCCAGGAGGAAGAGCGGAAGCACCAGAAGCTTCCACGCAGCAGACACTCCCACTCCCACGGGAGGCCCTCAAGGCTCACACGACGCCATGAGGGTCTGGCTTATCTCATTCTGCAGCTGCGGAATGTGAAATTCAGAGAGGTCACTCGTCCCGGCCAAGCCCAGGTCTGCATCTTTCTGCTGGGTCAGCCTCGGCCCAGCTGGAGTGCCCCGTGGGCACTCCCGGAGCCAGGCCTTGGGAGGTCGGCAGAATTCTCTGTGTGTGTGTCCATAGATGCCACCCGACCTTCAGTGGAGAAGAGCACGTGGCATCTGGAGGGAGCAGGGCCGGAGAAGCCAGAGGGACCCCCCACCCCCACCACCGCTGTGCACATGGAGCGTGGAGCTGAGCTGGACTGTCCTGGCGCTTTCTCCTTTTGGTGACTGCTGCCCCCGCTCCCCCCCCCCCGGGGGGCTTCTGGGCCCACTTGTCTCTCCCTGGGCCTGGGGGGCAGGTCGGTGGTGGGGTGATCTGGCAGGCTCCAAGACTCTACACACACCATCATCCTGGCCCCTGGAGGATTCTGGAGCTTTTCTGAAGACCTTGGCCAGACAGCACCTCCTTCTGCAGCCCCAAGAGTAGAGAAAGGGTGGTGCAGAGAGCCAGGATCCCCAGCAAGACTCTAAAGGGGAGTTTTCATGGCCATCATCATGAGAACGAAGATCTTTCCTCCAAGAATTACCCAAGCGTTTTTCCCCTGGCCCTCTGCCTGCTTCCTCCCATCCCTCCCTCCCTCCTCCCTCCATGCCCCTCTCCCTCCATCTCCCCTCCTCTATATCTTTTCTTCCTACCTGCCCTTCTTCTCCCAGTGACAGATGCCAGCACTGGGCGTCTGCTGCCACAGGGCTCGCTAGAGCCTGCCTTTTCTCTGTGGCCTTGGCACCTGGCCCTGCAGCCTATAGCAGGAGACCCGAGGGACAGCAGGGGCTGGGGGCTCACACGGTGTGTGACCAGGCAGAGGAGGCTACCTCACCCGCCCGCCATCCCCAGGGCCTGTCACTTGACTCCAGAGAGAGGTGGCCTCAGCGACCTTGCTCATCTGCTCTGGGCTCAGAGAGGCATATTCAGGGAGGGAGTGCCTGGCAGGTCTGCCTTGCTGTGCTGCAGACCCAGCTCTTAGAGCATCTGGCACATAGTAGGGGCTCAGATTGGGATGCTGAGCACACATCTTCCTTGTACTTGCCTCGCTGTCACGGTGGAGGCAGGGATGATGCGCCTGGAGGGGGAAGCAGCAGGCACTTGGCACGCATGCAGTGTACTCCCCGAGCTCACCACAAGGCTGAGAATCTGGAGGAGGGAGAGGGGAAGGGGGTCAGGCCATATTCCCCTAAGAGGCGACCCAAGAGCTGAGCTTGGGACAGAGGGAATTTCCTGGGCTGCAGAAGCAGGGCGTGCACCTGCTCCCCAGGATCCAGAGAGCTGCACAGGCCGAGGGAGGGAGGCGTCAGGGCGAAGGATGTGTGACCTGTGCCGTGTGTTGCGAGTGGGGCAGAGCTGGTGAGTGTTCAGAGGGGAAACGGGGGAAATGGATATTCTGGGTGTTGAGACAGGAGCCGGAGCCTCACCCTTCGTAACCCAGCCGCATCCCTGCTTTCCAAAGACCACTTCTGTTCTGTCTGTTCGTGCGCGAGAGCGGGAAAGACTCCTCCCCGCGAGGCCGCACGGCACGGGGCTGGGGCTCAGCTCTCGTCTCCCCGGGAAGTCGTGTCCGTCTCTGAGTCGGCCTCAGAGTTGCTTTTCCCCAGGCCCTGTTGAGAGAACAAGATCGTACACCACAGCTTCCCAGGCATCCTCAGAGGAGCCTCTAGCCGTGGCACGGCCGCCCCAGCTGGCTCCCCAGGCCGGGTGGCCACTTAGCCTATCAACAGCAGAGCCGGCGTGTGGCTTGTCCCCGGGAGCTGGCGTGAAGAAGTGCCTGGTGGCGCGGGGACCGGAGCACGCCGCTCGCAGATAAATTGAGTTCCGCGGGTAAACTGTCCAATTCCTCAAAGAAACTGTCAAACCATGTCGGGGGAAATCCCAGTAAATCTTGAAAGCCGCTGCTGGATGATAGAAGTCGGAGACGGCGAAGGTTATTGAAAAATTTCTTCTCCGTGCAGCCCTGGGGGAGAGCTGAGAAGGGCTTGAGGCAAGGGCTGGTGGCCAGGAGGGCCGGGGCAGGGCAGCTGCTGGCCCGTGGGGACCTCGGGCTGGAGCTGGGCCCCTCCCCCTCCCCCACGCCATCATCTGCAGGAGACCGGCTTCTGGGCCAGCCAGGCTCGCCACCCCACCCCCGCCATGGGGCTGTTTCGTTCTGCTTTCCCTTCTCTGTAATCCGGGGACAAATCGAGCTGAATCTAGCAGCTTCTGTCTCCCGAACCTCAACCCCATGCAGCCTCCCCCTTCGTGACAGGAGCTCCCCGGGGACGTGGAAGCGCTGGACCGCGGATGCCAGACGGTGGAACTGACGGCAAATCAGAGCAAATCCCTGGGAGGGGTCACCTGGGACTGGTAGGACAGGAGGATGGAGGGTGTCAGACACCAGGGCCGGGCGGGGCAGGCACAGGGCTGGGGGACGGAGAGGGAAGGGCCCCCGACTCATGTCCCAGCTCTGTCCACTCCCTACAGCCGTGTTCAGGGATCCCCAGATTAAGGACCCCCCACCCTCCCACAGTGTCTCTCTCCTCACTCTTCCAGCCAGCCCTCTGGGGACGTCATCTACACTGACCAGCCACTCTGCATCCACACCACCTCACCCCTCGGGGTGCACTTGGCTCCTGCCCCTCCCCCAGGTGCTGTGGCCAAGGTCAAAATGAGGCAGTGACCCCTGGGACTCTGGGGATGTCTGGTCTCCTTGCCCTGTCAACAGTGTCTACTCATCAAGTCTGAAGGACGTGGCGCTGAGCCCCGGCCATGTCCCCTGAGAGCTGAGGTCAGCTCTGAAGTCGCCAGGGCCCTGGAGCCCTGGAGCCAAGGCAGGCCCCCGGCCAGACCTGAAGCGTCTCGGGGCCCCCACGTCTGCACCTGCGAAGCAGAGCCAGTGTCACTCGCCCCCCAGACAGTGGGCTCTCGAGTCTGCGAAGTCCAGGGTAGAAGGTGGGGGTGGAGGTG